CTGATTCTGAAGGCCCTGGGCAGATTAGATTGACATGGCAACACATAGAGGCTGAAATCTGATTGGACAAAAAAATCTAACATCCACATACACGTACTGGAAGCGGTGCAGCCAAGAGAAATACTACGAAATGAAGAGAACAGACTGTTGGGAATAAATTAATACAATTTCATGGAACAAATATTAGAATTTCGGTTGTAAATGTAGGTCAGTGCTTCTAATAGTGTTTAGGCCAGCAGAGAAGGCCTTGCTGGCCCTGACGGCCCACCACTGATATTAAATATATGCTCCACGGTTTGTTGTGCTATGCTAGATAAGTGGATGGTTCGATACATAGATTCGAAGGAGAGACAACCTGTGACTGTTTTCATGCTAAACTTACTAGCGGTGTGTATCACTAAAACATGTCCCACTGAAAAACAACAACAAACTCCGTCGGGAGGAATATGTGCATCACTAAAATATGCCCTACTGAAAAACTATAAACTCCGCAGGGTGGAACATTAACTTTAGCTTCATAACTTCTAAATTCTAAATATATAAAAATTTAGAACATGCACCACAAACTGCAGGCAACTGGAATGTTCTCTGTTAAAACGTGTTATGTATTAGATATTTTTGTTTATTTTATGTAATGTCCATTTGGTATAGCGTTGTGTAAATACTTTTGTTTGGGAAACAGGTTTGGAAACTCCGATGTCCGAGTTTTCCACCTGTACTTAAACGCACCGTGCATTCGTGGATCGCGGCCTTTTTAGAATGCGGAAAAACACTCTCAAAAATCCGTGTGTGCGCGGAAGGTGATTCGTGTGTTAGACGATCCACGCATGCGTAGGTAACAATGTGTATGTACTTTCTAAAGAACGGCACACAAAAAAAATCGATTTTAAGCATTTGTAAAATGTGTTTTATGTGCAGTTTGTACAGCATGCATTTGTGAACAGCATGACACACACACACAAATGGCTTTATACGTGCAGATTGCGCAGCACGCATTTGTGATCCTCATGACACACACACACACAAATCGCTTGTTACAGACAAAACGTTAAACACGCATTTGTAACATTTTTGATAGTATTTTATCTCCATATAAAATGACCGTTGTGCACGTCCGGCAGGTCTTTTACACAATAAAAGAGGAGTGTCTGTAAATGTAGGGCGCACTTCCGCTTTATTTTGGCACAGGAAAGGCACGTCTGCAGAGCAAGGAACTTAATCTGTGTGTTGTGTATAATTTGGCAACACTGAATCAACATAAGATTTAATGGATTAACTTTGCACATGGAAAGTGTGTAAAATTTACTGATCATTGCAAAAATTGTAAGCCATTAATAGACTAAGCTGTCCCAAGTGATATATTTTTAGCATTCCTTAATAATGTGAGAAGGTATTCCTTAATTATTAGGCAAAATTATAATATAACACAAAGCAGGTGAGACTCATTTCATATTTAACATATCTAGACTACCTCTGCTAACGACGGGGTTATGTTTTCGCAGTATATATTGGTTTGGTTGTTAACGGCATAACTCGAAATATAATGAATAGATTTTGATGATGATGATTGGGAGAGGCATGGTATGGCCCACTGAACAACTGATTGCATTATGATGCTGATCTGTATCATAATTTGGATACAGGAATGTTTTAAAATTTTATTTATAAAAAGGCAGTTACTAACAAGTGGCTAAATGAGACTACATTGGCAATTGGGGATATTAAACATCATCCCACTGAACACGGAGACTTATCTATACACTAGCCCACTTTTGCAGACTCATAATTTTTAAACTTGTGCACTTGTAACTAGTCTAACTGACATAGCTGTGGTCACTATCTAGATCAAAACCTTTAAACCTGAAGATGCATCTGTGTCCTTTGCCCTTAACAATTTTGACTGCAGCCTTCCATTTCCTCGGCCCGCCACAGTCAATCTATTCAGCCACAGCTGTGACACCAAGCCAGCTATCCTAGAATGTATGTCAATAACTTCATTCATTTCTGATAATTTCAGAGGTACACTACATGGGTACAAACACAGGCCATCCCTTGGACTAGAAACCACTAGTATGGATAAATATACTCAGCCCAGGGCCCCTGTTGCCGCTAGGCCTACAGGTTGTATACAATGATTTATTGTTCTGGAAACAGCTAGGTCTGGTGAAGATTTATGAAAACACCTGGCTTTATTACTGTATTCTTAATGTACAGTTAAGTTTCGCTACTGTTAAAATATGCAGCCTATTTTATTGCACATTGAAACTTACATATGTTTATGTAATATGTATTGCATATTTAATTTAATCCATTTTAAATGTATAGCTTTTATTTTGAAGGCTGTATGCTCAAGACGGAAATCTTAAATTCAGAGTTTTCCCTTAGGATGCCATGCCCCCACTTCAATATTTTCAGAGTAAAACAGCAGCTCCATTAATCTGCAGTATTTCAAACTAAACTGACGCACTATCAAGCAAATAGTCCATCCATCCATCCATCCATCCATCCATTCATCCATCCATTATCTATAGCGCTTATTCCTGAATAGGTCATACTTTGACTATCAAGCTGATACTTTAATATTTTAAATCAATCCAGAACCACAATGATTTAATTCAGGACAACTCTATTAAAGCCTACAGTGTCTTGATGACCATATATGTAGGTTATACAGTAGGACCAATTTGCAAAAGGTTTAGACACTTTATAGGTTATGTTTAGATTCTTTTCCATTGTCATTATCATCAGGAGGCATCTGATCGGTTCCAACTTCATTCTTCAGCATGACAACGAGCCCAAACATAGAGCCAGAGTCCTAAAGAAATATCTTCAGAGTCAGAGACAAGAAGGGGCCAGGTGCTTAAAAGTCTGTCCCCTAATCTCAACGTCCACAATCACAGATGCACAGACTTTGAGATGCGTTCCCGCCGAATTAGTGAGGGCTCAGGGCTGGCCCACTGTGAAATCATCAAGGCTCTGTTGCCTTCATTTTGAGCTCTTTATGCTCACTTTCTGTAAGTTGGACTCTCGGCAGACTTTACCTGAGGGAATTCCCCACAGTTCATTGCGTTCTGACATGAAACACAGGACTAACCTATCCGGGGGAGGCTGAAAGCATAAAAGGGTACATGACATAAAATGGAGATAAGAAAAATAAAGAAGACAAACAGCAAACAAACAATTCTTATGTTAACTGATGTTATCCGAATGTTTTTGTGTGTTGCTTTGGACAAAAGCATCTGCTAAATACTGTAATACCCTGTATTTCACACCTTTTTCATTTATTTTCTGTGTTGCTTAATGATGCTGTTTTGACAAAAACATATATTAAATTGATTAGGTAACTGGCATGTGCCCCTCATCCACACTGTAAGGCTGTCAGGTTTGCCCGGCTGCACCTACTTTCTCACTCCCCTCACTCTGTTTTCACTCCCTTACCCTGATTACGTTATCCCTTACACCTGCTTCTTACCCCCGGATTACCACCAGCTGCACCT